TTCAAGTGACTCGGGAGCCAATTGTGATCGCCTATCATCTAAAAGATTACCTCCGGAGCTAAATGCTCTTTCAACGATCGTTATTGAAGCTAGCATAGCAAGTATTTGTCTAGCTATTATGGACAGGACTAGAAAGGTGCTTGCATGTTTTTTTCACCAATCAATTACTTCAAAATCTATACCCGCATTGCTATCACCAAACTCAAACACGGTTGTTAGATAAATATCAAGCTCGAAAGTGGAGTCCGATGATCCTCTTGGCCTTTTTGTCCTTTCTATGGCCATAAGATAACGGGCTCCAACACGTTGGCTACTTAATGATGATTGTGGCATAAGTGGTAAAGAGGAACTAGCATATTGATCACCCACGGTTAAAGACATTTCAATATATAAATTTCTAACTCGATTTATAATAGAAGCGTTTCTAATTCTATATTTCTATCAAATAATTACAAATACTCATAGTAAGTATTCAAAACAGCAGAAAGACCTTCCATTCTAAGTATAGGATCAAAGACTAAAGCAACAAGATAAATAGGTGGAATTGTTTCATAATAACTTAACCATTTTTGTTTCATTATTTGAATAGCATCATGTCAAGTCGGCATACCTTGTTCTATATGATTAAAAGCTTCAACAATATTAATTGCTTCAATCATAAATAAATGTGAAGTTGGTCGATAAACGGCACTAAAAGTGTATATTGCATTGTTAAAAACACTTAAAAGTTTCAAAAGTGGTTCATAAATATCAAAATCATTTTGACAAATAAAAACAGAATCAATATTTTCTCGAAAAAAATGAGCATAATAAATCTCGATATTCAAATGACTCGCCTAAGTAAGTCATAAGTTGAATTCCAACGAGTTGGAACATCTTTTGAAAATCATCTTGGTTTTTTTGTTTCTTTCTTTGCAAAACTTTTCCCATGATTTTATCTTTTCGGTATGCATTCATAAATATTTAGCAAGAGCTTTAATTGGCCTAACAATATCTTTAAGATATTCCAAACTAGATTGCACACATAAATTTAAAACATAACATACGCATCTAATATGAAAAAACTTACCTCCAAGATGGGGTTGACAAAGTTCTTTTAAAGAGTCTATTGAAGCATCATTATAATTAGTATTATTAAAAGAAATTAAAAATATTTTTAAAAGTAAAACATATTCATCTAAAATCCTTTTTAGTATCTTATATATATTTTGAGCAATATATTTATCATCAAAAACTCTATATACAAGAAGAAGTTTTTGCATGTGTCATTTATTATCAATCCAATGACAAGTTACACCCATAAATGAGTGAGTTTGCCATTGATCAAACCATATATCGGAACATATAGAAACACGACCATTCAAATTTGTAAATAATATAGTTAATTCTCTTTTTTTATCTATATACAATTTTATAACTATTTTTTTTAAAGAATGTCTTTCAACTTGTTTGAAAGCGAGGATTCAAAGTGTCGAACAATAATCACTAAAATCTATTTTTTGACCAAAACTAAAAGATAAATGATCAATACATATCATTTTAGCCATTTCTTCTTTATTTTTTTTATCGGTATACTCGAAATAAAAAGGAAGATTGAGAAGCAAACCCGGATATTTGTGTCCGATGTTTATCATTACCAAGTACGGATGGATGCTTTTTCTCCAAGTGGGTTTGAATGTTCCATAACCACCTCCTTGTTTGAATGTGTATTGTTTGTTGCGGTAGTTGCAAATCACGGTAAAAACACTTTTTTCTAAAGGAACTTTTAAGAAATGAATTTTGAAGATGTTGGATGATCTAGGTATAAAATTTGATTGTTGTTGTTGCTCCCCTGCTCGATTTTGATTGGCGGTATTACTTTGTTGTGATGACATATGTGAACTTGAACTTGTCATTTTTTGTAGTATAAAACAATAAAAATGTAAAAAATTTAAGAAGTATTTAGAGTATAAAAAATATTATAGGACGAGTATTGAGAATTCTAAACTTAAGAGTTTAAGAGATCGAGAGAGAATGAGAGATTGAGTTGTGAGGAGAATGAAAAAATTGAGAGTGTATTTATAAGAAGAAAAAAAAACACAACGGTCACAAATGTGACGAGTTTTGACAAACGGTATAATAGCTGTCTGTCCAGCCCATATAAAATTGGTTTTTTTATTTAAATTTTTTTTATTTTTTCGACCCAACCCAAATTTATTAGGAAAGATGTGAAACCGCCGGTTCTACGGTTAATCGTCGATTTAGAACCGTCAATTCTAATTCCATGATACCTTAAACCAGAACTAACTCGTAGGTAGCCGGTTACGATCCGGTTTGATCAAGGTTACGGTTTTAACTCGTTTTGATTCGGTTTTTAACGATTTGGTTTTGGTTCGAATCGAACCGTTATCATGTCTAGTTGGGCGTTTCTTATTTTTTCGTCAAAACAGAACCATCGTTTCATTGGAAAAGTCCATGCGGTAGTGTGGGCTTAGAGATCCAATTATAGTCGGATTGAGCCTTCCAAAGGCGTAAATTTATAAGATCCGAAGTCTAAAGAATAACCTCGAGATTCATGTTTAAGTCAACTCAAATATCAACAAGCGAGAAATATATGACCTTTTTTTAATTTATATAGCAATTATCAAGGCTCAAGAGAGGGAAAAAAAAAAAGGAAAAAAAATTCCACTTGGTATGGAACCAAAAAATTAAAGAATAAACATTATTTACTTATTGGGTATAAACTAAATTAATCACATTTATTATTAGTTAATACTAGATTTTTGACTCGCGCTAATGCAGGATTGGATAAAATATATAAAATTATTTAAAAAAATTATATTTAGTTTAATAATATGTTTTATTATAAAAAATAATTATAATTTTTTCATCAAAAAAATTATATTTAACTATTTTTTATTTGTGTTTTTAAATTTTGAAAATAAATAATAAAGGAAATAAATTATTGGTCTCTTTAAAATTTTAACACCCAATTAATTATTGGTTCCTTTAAAATTTTAACACCCAACATTATTAATAAACGAAAATTAAAAATAAAAGTTCAATTTTTAGAAAAAAAAAATATGAGGGCCGGCCTTTACTTGTTCATGTGAACGGTACGGGATGGAAATTATAAAAAAAACTCAATTTTTAGAAAGGAAAAAAAAAGGAGGAGGAGGAAGTCGTTTATTATTCATATGAACAATAAACGGAAAAAAAGAAAGAAGAAAGCCACGCTGGCAAATAATAATAATAATAATAATAATAATAATTTAAAAAAAAAAATCAAAGCACCGCAATGAGTAACACGAGTTCATTATTACAAAAAAAAAAATCGTTTTGCTTAGTATATAGGATAATATATACATATAAGGCTTGAATTCGATACCTTTTGAAATGAAAAGAAAAACTAATATTTGTGAAATTACGGATATAATCAATTATAAGATAATCAATTATAATTAACAATATTGCTTTCCTCCTTGATGTTATTTCATTTTCTGGATACAACTTCAAAATTTTGGAACATACCTCTTTTACCTTGATAAAATATCTACTAATAATCATATTATGCTTTGTGAGCATTCTAAGCTCATTCTTAAGCTGTTGCAACTTTGATTCGTTCACCTTGGCAAATGCTGTTGTTAGAGTGTTCCCAACCTTCTTGGGTATTCTTGATAGTTACTAAGAATACTTACAAAGTCTTGCCAAATTGTGTATTTTTTGAGCTCCTTAAGGTTAGTTGATGTGTGCCTTTATTTCCATAATACTATTTTGTTAATTACAAATATTTGAACATCATTTACAAGTCTTTGAACGTAGAATGTTTATATCTGATGTATAAAATTCACTAAACATGATAAGTGCAGATCATATTTTAAAGCGTTCACTATTCTATTCCTATTACAATTATATACAATACTTTCACTATATATTCTATCTCACACCACTCTAACAAGAAAAATTCTTTCTTATTTACTAACAAATTCTCTGTAATTAATTATTTGTTTTTCAACTTGCTTGAACCAAATATAAAAGGAGTATTTATATTTGTTGCAAACAAATTCTAAGTAGACATTTGATCCATATACATTAATAAGGTTAAGTAAAAATGGAGAGAAATTTAGAAATAACATATTTTGTAAGAAAAAAGGTATGGTTAATTTGAGTTTCGACTTAGTTTAATTTAAATAAATTAATTATATATATATATATATATATGTATAGAGAGAGAGAGAGTTCATGATCATCAAGGCTATGTGTTCGGTACGTAATTGTTTTTAATTCTTTTTCTTTTTAGCGTTGTATCCAAGCCAGAGCTTATCCCAATGCTTAAACAACCTAATTAATGGAAGTCTAAAGGTCACGTCAATGACGACTTATTCTAGATTTCTAAAAGACCTATCATTTAACTTGCTCAAGTGGCTAGTTGGGCGTTTCTTATTTTGTCGTCAAAACAGAACCATCGTTTCATTGGAAAAGTCCATGCAGTAGCATGGGCTTAGAGATCCAATTATACTCGGATTGAGCCTTCCAAAGGCGCAAATTTATAAGATCCAAAGTCTAAAGAATAACCTGAGAGTCATGTTTAAGTCAGCTCAAATATTAACAAGCGAGAAATATATGACCTTTTTTTAATTTATATAGCAATTATCAAGGTTCAAGAGAGAAAAAAAAAAAAAAGGAAAAAAAATTCCACTGGTACGGTATATATATATAAAAGGTTTGAATTCGATACCTTTTGAGATGAAAAGAAACACTAATATTTGTGAAATTACTGATATAATCAATTATAATTAACAATATTGCTTTCCTACTGGAACCAATTGTACTTTTATTATTTTGGTCCACGTGGACCTTTCAACAAGTAACAACAAGAACTGCATTTTCTAGGTTACAAAATGGAAATCACATTTAAAAGCCAATTATTATATTAGAACTGAGTGGAAATATTCGTGTGAACTTCATAAGCAAAATGTTGAAAAAGCACCAGTACAGTCCGTAGCACCTTTTCACCAATGTTAATGATGAAGTGAGAATTTATTTGCATAGGGAGGCCAGTAGAGGTGAAACTCTATCTTGTAGGTAACAGTGGGGCCCTTGAGATCCACCGGAGAGGATGTCACATACCCTTGTACAAACATGAAGTCACCGGTGCCTCCTACAACGGGATGATCTGCAGGCTTGACGTTATGTGTTCCTCCAACAATAGAGATTGATCCCATGTGATTCTTCAACCTTAAAGTAATCTTTGCAATCGAAATGCTCCTTAGCCCATCAAAACTAGATGTGATAGCAGTACCTTCAGCAATTCCAATAACTTTTGAAGATATATTGGGTGTTACAGTCATTGGATCTTGGAAAACAAACAAGGTGCCGAAAGGTGTTGTGGTTTGACCAACACCTGCTCCTACCACACCATTCACTATGATATATCCGGTTTTGTTTATGGTTTCATGTTGGTAAAGTGCAAAGTGGAGAGATTTGAGTTCATGGTGGCTGTGGTGGGAGGTGGAGGTAACCTTCAGAGAAAGAGCAAAAAGTAAAGTTGAAAGGACATAGAGGTGCAGAATTTGAGCCATGGCTAAGTTAATTTGCTTCCACAAGTATGTCGCAAATCATGGTAATTTATAGAACTCCTACAAAGACTTACTTCGACAATTTTGTCTCAACAGAGAGAGGTTGAATCAGTCAATACATTGACGTTATAGTATAGAAGTTTCATAGGAAAAAAAGAAAAAGGAATGATATGCGCCACAAAGGGGGAGAGTGTTTGACAAGTTAGAAGTAGGTGAGACTTCGTTTTCAAACCATATGCAATATCATGCATGCCATTCTATGTACAACTGTAATTAGTGGCAACTCCTACAGCACATTTATGTAGTCAAAAGTGACCCATAACTTCTATGTTTCACTTATTAATTTTTTATTTTTTTTTAAATTTTTGAACCAGAGTGGAAAATTGACCGAGTGCTTGACCTGAGCAATATGTACACAAGACTGGACCAGAAATACCTGCAGAGTTTCAAATTTTCTGAACTTCTAGAAAAATTATGAAAAAAAACTAGACAACCATCTTTCTACGAACTACAGGTAATTAATAAGTGTTACAGTGAGATGACTAGTTTTCAGGATTTAAAAGTACTCATGTATGTACTCTGCCTTTAATAAATGTAAAACAAAATAATAATACTACTTTATCATGTTATGATTGTGCACAATGGCACCTATTAATCCGAAAAATGCTACTTTCAAAATGATAATAATCAATACTGAAGGCATCTCTTAACAGGCTGCCTTTTATCGGCATTTTGATAATTAATTAATTATAAAAGTTTTAGTACCATTCTAACATAACAACGTATATTCAACTACTTATCGAGCGGCCAGCCCCAACTTCTTGATCAAAATAATACAAATTCTTAATTAGTGCACCACCCTCCAGTTCTTTTCATCTCTCACGTGCTTGAAAGCTGCACAGATTTGAGGATCAGTGGAAGTGGAGTAATTTAAGAAGTAGCAAGAACCTCACATTTATTAGAAGAGGGCATAAACTTAATTTCCAAAAGAAACATCTGAGCAAGTTATTAATCATGAATTGAAGATTGATTGGTAGAGGGGGGCCAGTGGAGATGAAACTCATTCTTGTATAACCAAAGTTAAGTTCTTGGCAGCCACCAAAGACGATGTAACATAGGCGTGTACAACCATGGAAGTCACCAGTACGGCAGTACCTCCCACAACAGGAGTATCAGATGCCTCCACAAGCTGCATATTCTCCCCCAACAATTGTGATGCTACAATTGTAAATTAGTACACTTGAAAATTGAGAGAAATAAACCCTACCCAGTCAAAACAAGATGTTACAGAAGCTACTTCTGCAAAGCCAACAAGTTAGAAGGTGAGTTGGAAGTAACAGTCATATGGTACCTTGAAAAGCATGTAAGGTGCCAAAAGGTACAATGTTGGAGTAACCCGAGCTCCTGCCACACCATTCACCATGATATACGCACTTTTGATGCTTCTAGAGTATAAAAGTTCAGGAATTTGAGTCTGTTCTGCTTGTGGTCGGAGGTGGAGGTACCCTGAAATGAAAGCAAAAGGTACAGTAGTAAGAAGATGGACGTTTGTAGACTGAACCATGGACCACGGTCATCTTTGTTGCAACAAGGAGATAAAAGCATGTTTATTTAACTAGGGTCTTGTTGTTCTAGGCCCAAATCAGTCCCATGACATAAGTTCATTAATTAGTGTCTTGTTATTTGAATCTACATAAATCCATTTTGTTGTAATACCTAATGCCTCTTATCTGCATTTAAGAGTGTTTCTAAGAATACGTTTGTACTGAAACAAGCTTCAAATTGATTTTATATTAATAATCTAATAGCTGAAAATATAATGTATATTTCAATTTTAAATAGATGGATCAGGATCCTCATGTGCATTAAAAAAATATTTTTTTGAGTGTCAAAGTTGAATGTGCAACGATATAAATGGATTTTGTAATCCTCAACTTTAGCTAACATAAACATAAAGAGTAATAGTGGCAGAATAAAAATGATTGGAAGTTGGAATGATATAGGTCCATAATATATGAACCAAACCACTTGCATTACATTACATGGTTCACTACATTTATTATACCAATCAATCAAATGAGTTTAATTCACATAAATCATGTAGATAAGACATTATTATTATTATTAGTTAATGGTTATTGATATGGCATCAACTTCTGATCATCTAATGGATAATGACATCATTAGGCGCATAGCTATGTTCATTATGTGTATTCACCATCCAACAGGTACAATATGAACTTTACAACTTATTTCCCACTATCACAATCTCCGTGGCTATATATTAAAAATTCATCGCTATACATAAGTAGCGACGTATTAGAAACAATATGAATTCCATCTCTAACATTGTCGTTGTTGTTTCCTTAGCGATCAATTTTATTTTTTTGTCACTAATTAATTGAATTTTTATCGCTAAATCAATCTAAAACAATTTTCCGTAAGGTCTGAATTTGTTACCATGTCATCGCTATTTTCACTTATATCTATCGTTAAATAGCGACGAAATGGGTGTCGCTAAAGTCCTCACAATTCCATTGCTAAATCCATCACTATTTAACGACCGTATATATCTTTGTCATTAAATTCTTTGCCGCTAAATATCCTCGCAATTTCATTGCAAAATTTGTAGATAAAGCATTATTATTATTATTTGTTAGTGGTTATTGATATGGCATCAACTTCGTTAATCTAATAGATAATGACATCATTAGGCGCATAGCTATGTTCATTATGTGTGTGCACCGACCAATAAGTACAATATGAACTTTATAACTTTTTTCGTACTATCACAAATTCAACATATAGCGATGGATTACGTCCCTATATGTTAAAAATCCATTGCTATATGTAATTAGCGATGAATTAGAAACAATATGAATTCCGTCTCTAACATTGTTGTTATTGTTTCCTTAGCGGTCGAATTTTTTTCTATCACCAATTTGTTAGATTTTCATCGCTAAATCGATCTAAAACAATTGTCCGTAAGGTTTTATAACCGTCACCATGTCATTGCTATTTTCACTTATATCTATCGCTAAATAGTGATGGAATGGGTGTCGCTAAAATTCTCAAAATTTCATCTCTAAATTAGTCACTATTTAGCAACCGTATATATCTTTGTCGCTAAATATCCTCATAATTCGTCACTAAATTCGTCGCTAAATAAAAGAATGTTTTTTTTGAAAAAAAATCAATAGACATATATTTTTAATTGTAATAACAAACAATTATAAACAATACCTTACTAAAACATAATATATTATTCAATAAAATTAAAATAGTATAAATTAAAATAAAATAAATATATAAATGTGTTTAGGCATACCAAAATATTAATTTTTTTAAAAAAATATATAATCCTCATTATCATCATCTCCTACATCATCTTTCGGATGCTAAGTGTTGAGATGAACGACTCACTCTTGTTCTAACGCCCTCGTCCTAAGACCTAGATACGTCAAGAGTATTACCAATGTTGACTTGCATTCGAAGTGCAATGAATGTATGTCGACAAATCTCTTTGCTTAATATTTCTAATTTATTAGTAAAGTGGGTAATTCTCATATGAGATCCCTAATAAATAAGAAATAATAAGTCCATGTTAAATAAAAACTTAGGTATAATTTTTTTAAAAAATTCAACTAATATCAATTAATATTTACGTGACATATATAGAAATATTAAATGCCACATTTTGGTCGGAAATCCATGTTCTTGAAATCCAAATTAATTATTTAAATAAAATATCTTACATTAAACTAAATAGAATCATGTCTCGTATTTTTCTTAAATTTTTATTAGAAATTCATATAAAATTTAATATAGGATTATAACGTTTCCAAATATTCCATACCATAAAGTAGGATTATTTGACACTATTATCATATCAAAAATAATTTAATTATCATATATTGCATTTAAATAGAAAATAATCAATGAATAGTAACCCATTAAATCAATATTTAATGCCATTATTTTTAGAAAAAAAATCCATAGACTAGAAAGATGTAATATCCTTAGCCTAAAAACCTCCTTAAGAGTAATTATGTTTGTAAGAATAATTTATTTAGTTAATACATGAATATTTATTTGAAATAAGGATTGATAAATTAAGTTTGAATACAAAATAAATTAATGTACTCACAATTATTATGTAGGGTAAATGGATTAAATGGAAGGTGAATGAATTAATTAAAATGTCAATTAAAGGACTACAATAATTATATTTTTAAGAATTTTCATTTAATTAATATATGAATATTTTTTTAAAGTAAGGATTGAAAAATTATGCATGGAGAAGAATAAAATTAATGTAAATCTAATTATTATGGAAGATAAATGAATTAATTAGAAGGTAAAGAAATCAATTAAAGTATGAATTATAGGTTGGCAAAATTAATTATTATGGTTATGTTTTGACCCGGTGATGAAATTGCCAAACATAGAGGCATAATTACAATAATTAAAAGTTTAGGTACTTGATTGAAATCATTAAGCAAATTTACAGACTTAATTATCCTTGAAAAAGGCCAAGGATAAGGGTCAAATTGAGGAAATTATGAAGTTACATGCTAAAATTGGAGGGACCAATTACAAATATTAAAAGTTTAGAGACTAAAGTATAAAGTGGTAACATTTAGAGGACTTATTAATTGATTTTAAGGAAAAAAATTTAGCTAGAGAATTCTGAAAATTTTGAAAAAAAAAAAAAAAAAAAAAGAGAAGAAGAGAGGCAACAAATAGGGAAGAAACAAGAGAAAATATCTAAGGCAAAAGATGACGAAAGGATGAGGAAAAAGAAAAAGAAAAATCTAGAAGCCATTAATAAGCAAGCTTAAGATTAAACCAAGGGTGACACACTTGGTTTAATTCTAAAAGAAAATCATATCTATAAAAAAGAGAAAGAAGATGGAGGAAGGGTTACAAGTCATGTTCAACTAACCCTAAAGGATGGACAACACCAACCAAGAAGGAAACCATCCAATCACCACTCCAAAACACCTTAATTAGCCTAGAAACACTCTAAAACAACCTCAAAATCATATTAGAAAAAAAATAAAGAAGGAGGAATATTTAATATTTGGATCAAAATTTTTGGGAGGAAATAAGAGGAAGAAAACCTATAACGAGTAACCATAAATAGCCCTTTCATCTAAAGTTGTCGATTGTCCCTCACTTCATCCCCAAAACCTATAGTAATAACTCCAAATCCTCCTCTATTTCTAGTCATTGAAACCCCCTCTAAACAACCTTTGAATTAGCAAAAGTAGCCCTCACTTTCTAGCTTAAAGAGCCAGCGACAACTCTACCATCCAGACTCCTCTAAACTCACCATCCAAGTTGCCAAAAATAAACTCTTGCTGCCACCACTTTCTAAAATTACCTCAAAATAGCCATAAAACAACCCTAAAACACCTCTAGGTCACTGGCTAAACAACCCAAAACTATTCCAAACAAAACCCTTGATCCATCCTTTAAATCCTAAGCCTAAATTTCAACTAGAGGAGGATGATGATGATTTTTAGTAAGGGATAGTGTATTTGAGTCCAAAATACACTTCAAATCTCAATTAAGAGTAAGCAAAGAAAAGAGAAAAGACTTGATTCTTGGCACTAAACTTCCTTCTTTGGTTAATAGCATTGATTGTCTTCATTGGAGGGTGAAAAATGGTGTGTTTGAGTCCAAAATGCTCTTCAAATCTTAATTAAAAGTAAGCAAAGAAAAGAGAAAAGACTTGATTTCTTGGCACTAGCCTTCCTCCTCTGGTTAATAACATTGGTTATCTTAATTGGAGGGTGAAAAAATGGTCTAAGAAACAAAAAAAGGGATTTCTACTCATCGACATTCCTAGGGAATTCCTAAGCTATTTCGACAAATAAGGTAAGTTTTTGATATTTTTTATATTGCCTTCACATTTTTTTAGATGAATGTATATGTATGATTGCTTTAAATAAATTATTTATATATGAATGAAAATATGAGATAAATGAGTGATATGATTGAAATATGGATTTTGAAGTGTTTGAAATACATTATTGTGTATCAACCTCGATACAATCGAAGACCTCGGGTACTTTTAAGGAGGAATAAGGTTGATTTGTTCTAGATTTTTATTTAATGTTTCGAGTTACATATGAAAATGACTTGTATACCTAAACTCTCTTGTTCTTCTTGTTATTCTTATTTTTTTTATATTTTATATTTTTATAATTATTTGATTGTTCGTCATGTAAAAAAAAAAAAACAATAAAATAACCAATTGATTAAATTCCACATAAAGGTCTATTTTCATAGAATTAAAATAGGTAAAATAGTTTCGGTTGCTTTGAATTTATTTATTTTTATTTTTGTTTTTCATTTTGAGAACCATATCTTGATAGGAATTGGAGAGGAACTTAGCAAAATGAATCTAAATCTTTACCAATTTGGAAACGTAATACGTAAAGTTTTAATGATTTTTTTTGTCTCATAAAATGATTTAACCAACCATACACCTTTAGTAAATACAATAGCCAACAACTCGAGTAACATAGTAAATAATTTCTCAGTCCATCCATTCAAACATTTTAGATTATATAAATATAGTATAAAAGCCGACCTTAAAAATGTCTCCCATCTTCCATCCTAGATATAACTCTTTTTTATATTTTTTAGTAAATTATTAAACATGTTTGACTCCGTGATTGATTGTTCACTATGTTACTTGTACATCAAAACTTTGATGCTATTCACTCATTTCATTATTCATTTATGCTTCGGGAGTTTTATCACATTTGTTGTCACTCATGCTATCCATTTTCATTGTTTTTTATCATCACATTGATCAACTACACCAAAATTATCAAGTAACAACCTAATCATGTCATGTGATTGTGGTGGAGTCACTTCGATAAAAGTGGATTTTTGAATAAAAATCACTCCTTATACTCTAATCTCCCTTTCGAGGCTTGAAGCATTACAACTACTAGTTCGCTCGAGCCACGAGGAGACTAGTGGGTCAAATACACGAGTAAAAAAGTATTACAAATTCTTTAGAATTTTCATCTCATCTTTCCTTCTTCTTCTTGCATCCGTTCTAATAATCTATCTTCTACTTTTATAATTCTTTGAATAAGAAACCTTGAGTTACATTCGATAGAAGTAAGCTAAGAAGAGAAATACATCATAATAATAGAGAAAGCAATACATAAAGGCCCTATTTAACTAAAAATTTACAATTTACAAGTATACATTCGTAAAAAGTAAATCGACTTACCTATACCATTCACCTATGCTTTAATCACATTGGTACATGGCATATAAGCAAATAAAACATATTTTATTTGAAGCATAATAAAAAATTTATGGTTTTAGCCATTTTATAAAATGTAAAAAAAATTTCTAAATTTTTTAATTTTTAAAGACTTTGGGTTTTGAGCCCATAGGCTTTTGGGCCTATGAGACCCATAAGCTATCACGCCTTAGCTGGATAGTGCCTAGCACTAGCCAACAACTACCATTGCCCGGGTGCATTTATGTACACCTAGCACGGCACTGGACAATGGCAGTGCATAGCACTAGCCTTGGCTAGCAAGTTAGCTAGTGCCTAACAATGGCTTGTTAGCTCCGGCCTAACTATTCTCGAGTCGTTGCCCTAGCTCCAACTAGCCTTGCATGCTCACATGCACTTATCCTAGCACTTAGCCCATTTGCATGTGTCTAGCCCTACTACATGGTACACTTGGGTGCACCTAGTCCGCTACACGGCACGCTCATACAATCCTAGCTTAAAGCATGCTTAGCGTGTGCTTGGCATGCGTAAGGCAAGCCTCGGATTGGTGCATACCCAGTGTGTGCCTAACCCGCTCTGTTGGATTCCATACAAGTGCCAACACCCAATGTTGACCTCACATGCACCCACTATTTTTTAGCCCAAAAATCAATTCCAAAACTTTATAAAATACCAAAAATCTCTAGATTTATAATAAGAAAATAATAATTCATTTAGTTAAATATAATTAAAAAACATATAATTATAAATCTATGGTAGTGTCTAACGAGCCCAAAGGCTATTATGTCCTAAGCTGGACGATTGCCTAACACTAGCCAACAACTGTCATTGGCCTAGTTCACTTATTCACGCCTAGCTCGGTGTTAGCTAATGGTAGTGCCTAGCATCGCCTTGGCTAGCTTAGGCTAATGCCCTAGCTCTAAATAGCCTTGCACCCTCGCATGTGCCTAGCCCGGCACTTAGCTTGTTTGTGCATACCTAGCCCTACTCGCTTGGTATGCTCATGTGCACTTGGTCTACTACTCGGCATGCTCATGTATGCCAATCCTAGAGCACACCTAGTGTTAGTGTTGGTGCCCAAGATGCAATCATGTTTGGATGAGCTCATGTTATTGTATTATTGCATCATTTATTTTAAATAAGTCTTTCTATTAATTCTTATATTTACATGTTGATAAATTTAGTAGAATTAAATAGAATTCCTTATGATATGCATTTGCAATAGAAATTGATCGAAAGATGTGAGATAAACACTAATGCACATAAATGATATCATTAAATCTCTCAAGTCGTAGCATTGTCAAGAATGGAAATTGAAAAAATACAAATAAACGTGTGAGTGTTATGCTCATGCTATGGGATAGAAGTAGAAGATCTCACACCTATTGGCATGGTGATGCCAAAGTACGCACTTAAGTTATTTATATTAGAGAACGTATCACTAGACTTGACTCGTCATGAGAACCCATTTGGTTTTAGTCTATAGGAATCTCATACGAGATGGGTACAAATGGTTCTTAGACTTGAAGTCGTCACGGTTATCTCATTGGAGGACTTATGTACTTTAACACTTGTTTCGATGGATCCATTAATGGGTTGTACGTCGACGATTCATTAGGTGCACTAGGAATCTAATAGAGATAGGTGTATAACTAAGATAGGACATTTCATTCCTTGTATGCTAAAGGAGTTATCACATTGCACTTCGATAAATTTCTACTCAAGAAATCTATAACCATAGTAAGAGTACACCAATAGAGCATAGTTGGTTTACTCTAAGAGCTAAGAAATTTAAAAATCGAAGAAAACTTATGTGATCATAATCGAACAAGACTAAAAACTAAGTTCGAGATCACATTGTGATAAGTTGACATGAGGACCGAATTGTATGATAACCATGCTCGTGAATGGTAATAATAGATTAACTAATCCTCCTAGAGAACTAGGTAGTCATGATGCCTTACTAGAGGCCAATCTTGATTTATGTATCAAGAGATAAAAGAGGATCTTTTATTCTTGATACATTGTCAAAATATCTAGGAGCCTATTGAGTCACACGTATAAGTTTAAGTATTCACGTTATAAATGAGAAGCAAAGATATTGGGAAAAGTTTCCAATTATAAAAATTTTTTTATTTTGGAAAGAGTTTCCAAAATGGAAAGTTTTCTATTTTAGAAATCAGTTTCCTAATTTAAAAGTTAGTTTCAAATTTGGAAATAAAGAACCTAAAAAGAAATGAGTTTCCTAATTTAGGTTAAATGGGATTTTAAGAAATTATTTTCTAATGTGGACCACGTCAAAATAATCTAAGAATATTTATTTGGATAGTCCAAATAAATTAATTAGGCTAAAATAGTTTTGGCCATTAGACTTAATTAAAAACTTTGAGATAATTTTGGTGGAAAGATAAACATCAACCTTATTGGATAAGGTTGAATGTTTTAAAAATAATAATCAAGTAGTCCACATATGAAATAATTCCTTAGCATTGGAGGATAAGGAAGCAATAACCTCGAGTCCCAAAAACACTTATGGTCACCCATCTCCTTGTCCTTAGAGAACAAGGAAACTTTTCCCTTATAAATTAGAGGAAAGGTGCGGTATAAAAGGGGTTGGAAAAAGGAAAAAAAGAATTAACCTAAAAGAGAAATTTGACCAAAAGAAAAAAAAAGGAAGTGGTAGATTTGGCCATCCCTAAAAATTACCTAGGGTACGACCAAAAGAGAAAATATATGAGGAAATTGTTTTCTCCTAAACCCTAAAAAGGCCATACTTTTTTCTCCTTTTAAGGTTATCGCAAAATTACTCGGGATTGATTTTTAAAGAAAATACTAAATCGGAAAAGATAGAGCTAGCACCACACCGATTTTGAGTGCTTCTTTGTGGATACTTGGATCTGCGTAGATCATTAATAGAGGCCAAACAATTGGACAGACTTATAAGAAAAAAGGAATTTAGATATGTGCTATAAGAGGTAATCTTTTACTTATAGCTTATTATTCCGATAGGCCCCAAGTGCGCATGGTTTACACAAGAAGGGGAAAGAGAGGTCCAACCACCACCGAGTGGAGGAAGTTTGGTAGGCCATTGTTGATCACGGAATTCTTGGAATATTCTCTATTGAGTTTGTTACATATAGGTATTTTACTATACATATATGTAGAGGAAGTGTAAGGTCGGGAAAAGGGGGGACCATAAGTTGGTTATGAAAATATTCTCTGTTGAAAGAGTGGGAGAGAGGTAGCCTTTAGAATAGTCGTCATTATCTTTTTTTCCTTATTGCCATTGTAAGATAGGACATATCGGACCTATTACTTCAATAAAGAATCAGTATTATTCATCATTTCTCATTCCTTACATTATTCACGTCGTTTCTTTCTTTATCTCTTCTTTGTTTGGTTGTGGGTTCTTATCAATTTGGTATCGAGCAATTGATCTAAGTAGGTAATGCAAGCTACTCAAATGGAGAATCGAATGGAACAAGTTGAGGCTGAAATTAAGTGTTTACCGTTCTAAAAGATGATGTGGCCGACCTAAAGAATTCCATGGCCACTATTACACAACGCTTGGAAGACATTTATCATCGAAGCATCAAGGAACAAGGGGGAGTGACCCAACCGAGGTGAGCTGTGCTAAAACAAGGGTAACAATGACCCCGGAATCAGCTGTAAACACCATTGATTCTATGGAGGTTACTCGTAGGAGCCAGAAGGTCCGGGATATAGATAAATTCCTGAAAAAATTGGAACTCCCCACCTTTTGAGGGACGGACCTAGATGCATGGATTTTTAGGGCGAGAAAGATATTTCTCCATTAACCGATTGATCGAGGAAGACAAACTAGAGGCAAGCTGGAGTGTATTTTGAAGGGGAGGCCCAAGCATGGTTGAGGTTTGAAGAGAGGGAGACATCTTTCATCACTTGGAATGATCTAAAAACCCGGATGTTGCGAGAGATTCTTGGGGCCGGAGGATGGCTCGGTATTGCATCGATTTTTTACAATCAAGCAAACAAGGATGGTGGTAGAATATCGAGCTTATTTCGAGTTGCTTACGACTTCAACTAGGAGGCTAGATGAAGAAACCATAGCAGCGAGTGCTCATTAATGGCTTAGATGAATGAATAAGAGCCGAGATCTTCATGCTAAACCCCACGAGCCTAAAAGAAACAATGCGGATCGCAACCCGCATTGAAAGGAAGAATCGGATCATTGCCCCATTACCTAAGCCCAAAGGGCCTCCTTCAATCCATATCGGACCCGAAAATAAAACCATCTTTTGGACCCCTCTAAAGAAACTTACCTCACTTACCCGAACACTATCAGCCACCACCAAGTTTCGTAACCAAAAACATAATCTATCGTAAATCTTTGGACAAATCCACCTCACCATGACCGGAGACAACCAACCCATAACACATCACCTTCCCGATTCAAGAACCCGATAGCCACCGAAGCTTAAGTTAAGAGAGAAAAAGGGTTGTCTTATAGATGTGACTAGAAATGGCATATTGGCCATCGTTGCAAAAATAAAGAGCTTCACGTACTGCCTGGTCGGTGAAGACCGAGAGGGCGATAGGGGAGTGGAGGATACACTAGCAATCGAGGGGATAAACGAGGCCGATTTGGAGGGAGTGGAGTTATCCTTGAACTCGATAGTGGGATTATCTAAACCACGAACCTTAAAGTTGTATGGGCGGATCTTAGGCACTCGCTGTGGTAATGTTGATTGATTATGGGGCGACCCATAATTTCATTTCTCAAGCTTTGGTGTAGAAGCTGAACTTACCAATTTTGGATACTATGAACTATGGAGTTATAGTGGGAAATGACCAACGAGATAAAGGGAAAGGGGATTTGCAAAAGTGTGTTATTATAGCTACAAGACCTCACCATTGTTGAGGACTACTTGCCTTTGAAAATGAAGAGTATCGACGTCATTTTAGGAGTGAAATGGTCGGCAACATTAGGGATCACCCAAACGAGATGGTGTTGTAAGGGGATCCTAGTTTAAGCAAGGCTCTAGTTTCTTTAAAGGCAATAATGAAGACCATTCAACAAGAGGGAGAAGGATTGTTGCTGGAATTATGCCATGTCTCGGCCTTAGAACGGACGAGAGGACGGTTGCATTGCCCCTAAGGTCGGTTCCTTATTGGGAGAGTTTGAAGATCCGTTTGGTGCCCCTACCGAGCTACCTTCAACTCGAGATTTTGACCACTATATTATCCTTAAGGAAGGCATAGAGCCAATCAATATGTGTCGATATCGATATCCCTACATCCAAAAAAATGAGATTGAAAGGTTGGTAGGAGAAATTTTGGAAGTAGGGATCATTAGGCGAGTACCGACCTTTTCTCAAGCCTAGTACTTCTAGTAAAAAAGAAAGAAGGTAGTTAGCAATTTTGTGTCGACTATAGAGCTTTGAACAAAGCAACGAGTCCCGACGGGTTTCAAATCTCAAACATTGATGAACTATTAGATGAACTCAATGGAGCCCGTATATTCTCGAAGCTAGACCTCGAGTCGGGATACCATCAAATACGGGTGCAACCTCAAGAAACCCATAAAATTGCTTTCCAAACTCATGAGGGACATTATGAATTTCTTGTCATGCCGTTTGGATTGACCAATGCCCCTACCACTTTTCAAGCACTAATGAACTCAATCTTTAAAAATCTCATTCCGAGGCATGTGTTGGTGTTCTTTAACGATATCTTAGTCTACAGTGCTTCCTTGACTAACCATGTAGGGTATTTGAGAGAAGTATTGACAATTCTACGGGAGCACTAATTATTCGTCAACTTAAAAAAGTGTTGTTTTGGTCAAGACCAACTAGAGTATCCGGGCCATATTATTTCAAAGGAAGGAGTTCGAGCTAATCCTGGAGAAGGTCCGAGCCATGGACAAATGGCCCATCCCAAAAAACCTAAAGAAGCTCCGGGCTTTCTAGGCCTCACGGGGTACTATCGAAGGTTTATCCATGGGTATAGAAAGATTGCAGCTCCTCTTACCCAACTATTGAAGAAAGACTATTTTGTTTAGGGAGAGAAATCAACCAAGGCGAGTACAGCGGTTGAAAGATGCCATGAAGTCGGTTCCCATTCCGGCACTATCGGACTTTGGTGAGCGTTTCTTGGTTGAAACGGATGCGTCGAGGATAGGTGTGAGGGCGCTTTATCTTAACATGGGAGGTCTATTGCATTTTTTAGCCAAGCTCGACGGGGAGAGCCCACTCCAAGTCTATTTATGAACGAGAGCTCATGGCCATTGTGTTTACCGTTCAAAAATGGTGTCATTATTTATTGAGGAGACATTTCATTATCCAAACCGAGAAGCGGAGCCTTCGCTATTTGCTTGAGCAGAGATTGGTTACACTCGACCATCAAAAATGGCTCACTAAGCTTCTAGGCTATGATTTTGAGATTCGAGTACAAACCGGGTCACGAAAACCAAGCTGCATATGCCCTCTGCAGAGTACATACCGTAGCTGAAAATCACTCCTTTTTCGTTCGGTGCTTTTGGATTGGGCCATCATTACATCTAAAATCAACCAAGATCAACAAGTGCAAAAGGTGATTACCACACTTAAGGCAAATCCGGATGTAAAACCGAGATGGACCCTTCATCATGGACGGTTACACTATAAGGGATGGGTGGCAATCCCCGCCAACTCTTGTCTCAAGGTCGACCTCTTAATTGAATTTCATTGTAGCCCAATCGGAGGTCATAGTGGGTTCATAAAAACCTATAAGCTGATTTCTCAAGAATTATATTGGGAGGGGTTGAAAATTGATGTAAAGCAATTTGTTGCTTCCTACCAAGTATGCTAGTAGAACAATCAAGAGACCTTGTCTCCAACTAGGTTAATTCAGCCCCTTCATGTGCCACATGCCATTTGGGAAGACAACTCGATGGATTTTGTGGACGGCTTCCCTAAATCCTAAGGGTATGACTCCATTTTGGTAGTTATGGATCGGTTAAGTAAATATAGTCATTTGATTCCCTTGAAGCATCCTTACACGACTTGAAAGGTGACGGAAGAATTCTCGTCCAATGTGGTAAAACTACATGGTTTTCCCTGGTCCATTGTATTGGACCTAGACAAGATCTTTTTGAGTCATTTCGGATGGAGTTATTTCGCTTGCAAGCACACTTCATTGAACCATAGTACCACTTACCATCTACAAAGTGAAATGAATGGCCAAAGTGAAGTGGTTAATCGATGCTTGGAGGCTTACCTCCGATGTTTTGCGAGTTCACAACCAAAAATGCGGTGTAACCGGTCGCCATGGGCGTAATATTGGTTTAATTCCTCCTATCATACATCCGCAAAGTCTACCCCTTTTAAGCAAATCTACGGTACGGACCCTCCGCCTCTGCTTAGGTATGACTATGTCGCTCCCACTTCTAACTCAAACTTGAAGGACAAGTTGCTCGAAAGAGATGTCATGATCTCCGAATTAAGGGAGCAATTATTGCTTGCTCGAATGCTATGAAACAGAGAGTCGATCAGCATCGTCGAGAAATGAAATTTCATATTGGTGATCAAGTCTACTTGAAACTCGGCTTTATAGGCTGCAATCTCTTGCTCGAAAAATAAACGAGAAGCTCTCTCCTCATTTTTTTGGCCCTTACACGATTTTACAATGCATTGGTAAGGTCGCTTTAAGCCGTATCTACCTAGCTCCACCTCTATCCACCCCGTTTTTCATGTATCACAACTAAAACATGCTCGTTGGTAAGACCACCACTACACGACCTTTTTCTTCTATGTCGACCGATCAAATGCGAGTAGCTCATGCAGAGCTCGAGTCGGTTTAGACAACGAGTAGGCAAGGAGGGTCCGGAAGTACTTATCAAATGGAAAAACCTTCCCACTTTTAAGGCAACTTGGGAACCATATGAGTTGATCAAGAAACAATTTCTAGAATTTCAACTTAAGGACAAGGTGTATTTCCATGAGGGAAGTATTAATAGGCCCCAGAGTGCACATGGTTTACACAAAAAGAGGAAAGAGAGGTCCAACCACCATCGAGTGAAGGAATTTTGTTAGAGCCAGTCGTCGATGATAGAATTCTTTGAATATTCTCTATTGAGTTTGCTACATATAGGTATTTTACTATACATATGTATGGAGGGAGTGTAACATCGAGAAAAAGGAGAGGACCATAAGTTTGTTATGAAAATATTCTCTATGGAGAGAGTAGGAGAGAGGTAGCCTCTAGAATAGGCTGCCATTATCTTTTTTTCCTTATCGCCATTGTAAGAAAGGACACATCGGACCTATTACTTCAATAAAGAATCATTATTATTCATCATTTCTCATTCCCTACATTATTCTGCCGTTCCTTTCTCTATCTCTTCTTTGTATGGATGTGGGTTCTTATCATATTCATAGATGTTTGGTTAGTAGATTTAATGGATTGATCTTGGGGCCTTAGATGGAGGAAAAGTTTTTTTTTATTTAGCACCTCCATAGGATGCATGATCCTTCAATTGGTACTAAAGCCTCCATTAAATCTTTGATTGTATGATTGGTTAATTATGATTAACTACATGAATTAGCTACGTCTAATTATAAATCTTATGTTTTGGGTTTTTTATATCAATATGAAATTAAAATTTTATGTCAAAATTAATATCAACACGCGAGGTCAAAGTTGAACATCAACACTTGCGTGTGTGGCAACCCTATCGTCAATAGCACACTAGGCGAGCTATTGGTTGACTTGCCAAGGCCATGCGCTAGGCTTGCGAGCTAGGCAATGCATGTTAGGCGCATGAGCCGAGGGTGCCGGCAAGCTAGCGAGCCACCACTAGCCTATCGGCATGTGCGTTAGGCATGTGGGCAACCCGACAGAGCCACCGGCTAGGCACTTTCTTACTAGGTCGATGGCCACGGGCGAAGCATGCAAACCGAGGGCTTGGGCTTCAAAACCCATGAACACTCAAGACCCGAAAGCCTATGGGCCCAAAGAGGACCCAAGGCCTAAAAAGTTTTTAAAATTAAATTTTAAAGAAATTTTGATAAATTTATAAAATGACCAAAACTATAGATTTATAATCATTTTATGAATGAAATTGTTTCATTAGTATGTCATGTGTCAATGTGATTGAAGTATGAGTGAATAGCATTGATGAGTCAGCCTAGTTTTATGAATCAATGCTTATTATTTTTTAGATAAATAGGACCTATGTACTCGCCTTCTCTATTACTTTATTATATCTCTCTTCTCATTTTTCCTCGAATGTAACTCTAGATTTTGTTATTTCGAATGAATGTAAAAGTAGAAGATAAGAATTAGAATAGATACAAGGAGAAGATGCCAATGAATGAAGACATTCATGAAGAATTTATAATAATGTTTTGCCAAGGAATTGACTCACTAGTCTCTTTGTGGCTCAAAGGGCTCGGTACTAGAAATCCATTACTATTCACTAGTCCTTGAGTCATGCATGGAATGTATGAATGTGACGAGATAAATGTTAGTATGTATGATTAGGAATAATGTGATTATTGTTTAGTATGCATGCTAGGATGAGACCAACCATATTTAATCCTTCAAATAAAATTTTAAGTTAATTGCTTTCCAACGTTATGAGGTGGGAATTCTCTTGATCGTTGTTGGCTTGTTGAGATAACTTATGATCACTTCTTCCTCGAGGAAAACAAATCGAGGCCATGCAATGTTCCTAAATGGTTGGGTCTAACTTAAATGAGTTGTTTGATTTGTTGAGATAACTTAAGGTCTAATAAACTTATAAGTAAGGATTGGTATTCACATAAGATGTGACAAGGATAAGGAGTTGTCATACCAATAGAATTAAGAATTACATTAGATGTAATTGGTAAGGAGTTACCGACCTAATCCTTCATGTATGGCTTGTTGAGATAAATCAAGACTTATGCATGTTAGAGGATGGGATCCTAACCCACTAGGAAAATTAATCAAAAACTTTTCTCGAGTATTATATTGAACGTTATAAAACTTGAAGAAAATCATGAGAGCAAACATAGATTTTATTTCTTTAATTTATGTTTTGTTTAATTTCATGCAATTTAATTAACCAAACCGTACGTTTTTCTATCCCGTCGATTGCATAGTATGACCGACAACACATCAATACAATTGATCATTGATGGAAGTAATGTCTTTAATGACACAAACTTCCTCGATTGGGAAATAAATTTAAGGATAGTCCAAAATGAGAAAATTCTCTATACGATAGAGAAAGCTATTCTAGATAAGCCTCTTCCGGTTCAATCGAAGCTTTTGAAGCATGGATCAAACATAGAGATGATGCGATCACTCGCTCGCAGTATCATGCTTGCTCGCTATAACGTTGGAGCATAGATGCCAACATTGAAGCTCATAGGCTTTTGATATCTAGCAAAGCTCAAAAGCTTATTTGAGAAGAATACTAGACACAAATGCTATGAGATAGCAAAGAAGCGCTTTAGAGCCAAAATGGATGAGGGATCCAATATCGAAAAGCATGTCATTGAAAAGATAGGCTATATTGATCAACCGGCCAAACTTGAAGTTAGAATGGATACTCGAATTATCCATTAACCTATTATTGTAATCGTTACCCAATAGCTGTGGACAGTTCATCATGAACTTTAACATAATGCACATGCAAAAAACTCTTAGAGAGTTGTTATCCATGCTAAGAGAAGGTCAATCCAAAATGAACAAGAAAAATAGAAGCTCTATACTTCTAATTAATAAGGGAAAAGGCACAATAAAGGGTAAGAAAATGCCCAAAAAGAAGAAGAAGTCTTCAACTACACCAACTGGAAGAGTGAAAAAGGTCAAGGCTCAAAATAGCTTAAAGGATGCAGTTAACTTTCATTGCAACAAGAAAGGGCATTGGAAGAGCAACTGGGAGGGGTACTAGGGGTGCAAAAAAGAGTTCTACCACCACCTTATGTATTATGTTATTAATGTTAATCCTTTTTATTTCAAAATTTCACCTCATGAGTATATGACACTAAATGTGGTACTTACATTTTTGAAATGTATAGGAGCTTAGAAAAAGAAGGAAGCTAGCTTCAAGGGAGAATATCTACATAATAACAATGGATCAAAGAGTCGGACCATTAGATGTAAGTAGTTATGAGCTAGCACTACCATGTTAAGATGTGCTATGACTCAATCATTATTATTTTAGTAAAGACTAAAAATCTTATTTCCATTTCTTGTTTTGAATAAGTATTTTATTTTTAAGAATAATAGTTATTTTTAAGGATGAATTTTTATAGAAATATTTTGATAATGATTATATGCTTTAGACATAACTCCCAAATGTATAACATAAATACTAGAAGACTCAAATGATCTAACTAATCATTAATTAGTAAGAAAATATCAAACATAGTCATATAACCAAGAATCTCATATCCAACCTACTTATATAACAGGATATTTAAAATTATTTGATGATGTCTAAGAAATCTTGTTTACTTGGCAAAAGACATGTATCCCTTTTTAGTTAAAAAAGAGAAAGAATTACTAATCAATATAGTCTTTATACATAAAGATGTATATAGGCATATGTTAACCTAAGGAAGAGGAGAACATGCTTGTCACATAACCATTAATGATAGTGGATCATGTTATGGTTATAAGACATAAGTCCAAAACATTTAAAATGTTTAAAATTTTAGACTTGAAAAGTCATATGACGAACTAGCAAGAGTTTTTAAAAGCATCTCGATTAGATCAAGGAGCTAAGTACTTAAATTCTAGAATGTTAGATCACCTAAAAGAGAATGAGATTCTCTATGGACATCACATGTTAGACATGATCAATCCATGATCAGTTGAATTAATATCCCTAATGATGAATGAATACTCCTTCCTGCAGACCTTTAAGATGAATAAGGTTCTAATATATTGAAATAGATCATGTATAAGATATGGGAAGGGAAAGAAAATGAATTCATCTTACCCTAAGATTTAAAGCTATAAAATGTATGTCAAAGGGTTGGAAAAAGATAAAATAAAGTCCAAAATTAATAAAGTTCTAGATTGTGAGATATCCTAAAGTAAGATTAGGATGTCAATATCTTACCACTAGATTAAAGTGTTGTTCCTTACTAAGCACACTATGTTCTTTGTAAAGGAATTTATGGATGCTAAAAATAATGAGAGGAAATTTAAACTCAATAAGATTTGAGTAGATTCATAAATTAACACCGTAATAAAGGAATCATAAAATAGAATGATTACAAAGTGTTATAACTCTCTCACAAACAAAAAAACAAGAATTTCAAAAGTTCAAAACAAATTCGTCAAAAAGACAAAAGGGATATGATCTTTTCATCTTAATACATTGTGATGTGAGCCCTAAAAGGGATGATGAAGCTAATACTTTTGAAATGACAATGTAAGACATTGATTCCTATAAAAGACAAATAAAAAGAATGTGTAGTTGACACACCCTAATGGTTCCTAAGAACATACAAATAAGATTTATAAAGGCTAAGGTCCATTAATAGACTTAAGCAAGCCTCTAGGAATATACGTCCATATTTTATAAAATAATCAAAGAGTTTGATTATTCATAAAAAACAAAAACATATCTTGTGCAAATAAGAAGCTAGTGGGAGGTTACTAAATCATGGTTATTGGACACAAAATTATACCTCGACTATAATATTATCATGTTACAAATAAAAAGATTGAGGAATCTAGAAGAAATTTTCCAAGGATGACATCCGGGAGAAACCTACAATCTAAGAGTATAGATCTATAGAGATAGATCACTTGAAATGTGAGGAGTCTCCCAAGGTAGTTAGAATGACATGATACTAAAAGGTTTAGTATGGAACAATCAAATAAAGTTTTATTCCAATGTCATATAGCTTAATGACTAATAACAAAGGATCCATAGCACTAGCTAAGGAACCAATATCTCATCAATGGTCCAAGTATGTACTGTAATACTATCACTCGATTATAGAGATAAAAAGGGTCGTGGTACCATAAGGATAGAAAAGAACAACACTATGATAACATAGTCGACCCTAGGCTAAGACTTTATCATAACTAAAATATCTATCCCTCACTCGATCGTTGAGATTAAGGGACGTGGTCTGGTTGACTCTAGTACAAGTGGGAGATTGTTAGTGTTGGTGGCTAAAATCCAACCATGTTTAGATGGACTCATGTTAGTGTATTATTACATCATTTATTTTAAAGAAGTTTTTCTAGTAATTTTATGTCTACATG